CTCGGAGCCCTGGGAGAAGCAGGTGCTGTAGCACTGGGACTGGGTGTCGGTGGGTCGCAGCGTGACCTCCATGTACTTGAGGGTGCCGTCGGAGTTGAGCTGGAGCTTGGGGCTGGAGTGCTTGAAGAAGTCCCGGGAGGGCGACTCGCTGAGCCAGCAGCAGCAGTAGGGTGAGACGGCGGCGCGGCCCCTGCGCCGGAGGCACCTGGCGGCCAGGACGGTGACAGTGGCCAATGCCACCGTGCTAACGGCTGCCAGCGCGATGATCAGGTAGAGGGTCAGGTCCGGCTTCTCCTTGGCACCAGCCAGGAAGTCCCGAGGCTTGTAGCTCTCCTCCGGGGCTGCCTCCTCCAGGGCCACGGTGATGGTGGCAGTGGTGGAGAGCGGTGGGTCGCCGTTGTCCGTCACCTGGACAACGAGCTGCTGCACTGCCATGTCAGTGTCCTGGAAGGCACGTGCCGTCCGCACCTCCCCGGTGTGCAGAGACATGTGGAACAAGGAGGGGTCGGTGGACTGTGGCAACAGCCGGTACGAGAGCCAGGCATTGTACCCGGCATCCGCATCCACCGCTGTCACCTTGGTGACCAGGGAGCCCGGTGGGGCAGACAGCGGGACCCTCTGGGGTGCCGAGACATCGCTGTCACTGGCAGGGTGCAGGATGGTGGGGGGGTGGTCATTCTGGTCCAGCACATAGATGTAGACAGTAACATTGGCATGGAGTGGGGGGGACCCCGAGTCCCGCACGGCCACAGAGACCGGCAGAACCTGCAGCTGCTCAAAGTCAAAGGTGCTCTGAGCGTAGAGGTTGCCATTGTCAGAGTTGATGTGGACGAAGGAAGAGATGGGGGAACCCTGCATTTGGCCACTCACTATGGAGTAAACAAGCCGGGAATTATCCCCGTCGTCAGGGTCTGAGGCAGAGACAGTGCACAGCAGGGAGCCAGGCGGGTTGTTCTCCTCGAGAAAGGCATCGTAGGAGGGCTGCAAGAAGCGTGGGGGGTTGTCATTCACATCAGATATATTGAGGAGCAGTGTGAGTGTTGTGGTGAGGGCAGGAGACCCACCATCCCGGGCGATCAGCACCACTCGGTACTGTGAGGTGGACTCTCGGTCCAGGCTCTCCCGGGTGACCAGGGAGAAGTGGTTCTGAAGGGACCTGATGGCAAAAGGCACATCAGGGGAGATCTGCAAGCTCACATCCCCATTGGCCCCTGAGTCTCGGTCCCGGACATTGAAGAGCCCCACGACAGTCTCTGGTGGGGTGTCTTCTGGCACCGGATTCAGCAGGGAGGTGAGCAGCACCTCTGGGGGGTTGTCATTGGCATCCTCCACTTGCACCTGCAGAACACAATTGCCCTCCATCTCTGGGACCCCTCCGTCATGGGCTCGCACATAGATCTCATAGAAAGGTGATTCCTCAAAGTCCAGGGCCCCACTCACCCGGACCTCACCACTGTGGGGATCCAGGGAGAAGAGCCTCCGCACCGAGTCGGAGGTGTGAACCCCGAAGGAGTACTGTGTCTCCCCATTGGGACCCTCGTCGGGGTCAGACGCGTTGATCCGGAGGAGCAGGGCCCCCACAGGTGTGTTTTCCGGGACTCGCACCCTGTACGTGGTGCGGTCACAGGTGGGAGCGTTGTCATTGACATCCAGGACCAGGACTGTTATCTGTGCTGTGCCCGAGCGGGCTGGGCTTCCCCCGTCCACGGCCGTCAGCACCAGCTGCAGTTCTGGCTGCTCCTCCCGGTCCAGGGCACGCTCCAGCACCAGCTCCGGGAAGAGTTTGCCATCCGGCTGCTGCTTGACGTCCAGGGAGAAGTGGGAGTTCGGGCTCAGCCTGTAGGAGCTCACAGCATTAGTGCCCACATCGGGGTCCTGAGCACTCTCCAGGGGGAAGCGCGCGGCCACCGTGGCAGACTCGGCGATGCGCAGGGTGCGCTGGGCGGTGGGGAAGCTCGGGGAGTTGTCGTTCACATCCAGGATCTCCACTTCCAGGCGGAAGAGCTGCAGGGGGTTCTCCGTCAGCACCTGCACCGACAGCACGCAGCTGGCAGCTGCTCCGCACAGACGCTCCCGGTCCAGCCGCTGGCTCAGCACCAGCGTGCCGCTGTCCAGGCGCACGGCGAAGTGGCGCGAGCTCTCCTCGGAGCCCAGGCGCAGCCTGCGACCCGGCAGCTCCTCCACCTTCAAGCCCAGGTCCCGGGCCATGTTCCCCACCACAGTTCCCACCTCTGACTCCTCAACCACCGCGTAGTGGATCTGCCCGGAGACCCGGCCCCAGCCGCAGAGCAAAAACAAACTCAGTACTTGCCATTTCCAGGCGGGTCGCTGGAGGCTGACGCTCTCCATGTCCGTGCGCGTCTGGCCCGGGACACGGCAGGCACTGAGGAACTGCGATAAAATCCCTGGGTCTCTCTTCCACGGCTTGGAAAACAGCTCCGGGGCTCCGGCAGGCTGCGGCTCCGGCTGTCAGCCTCCGAGCAGAGGGGGTGGGCTGGGGGAGGGGAACTGAATCACAGCCCCAGCGCGGAGGTGGGAGGGAGGGGGGTTGGGGGGAGAAGCAGATTTCCCCCCCTCGCTTCAGATCAGCGCCCAATTGGCCGAGAGCTCCGTCCCCTCTCAGCCGGCAGTGGCTCTGGAGGTGAGGGAAGCAGGGGCCTGAGCCGGCAACAGCGGGGCTGCCACCCCCGGCCTCCCCTCTGCCAGCCTGACTCACTTGCTCCGACAGCTCGCTTTGCGTTCACAGGGAAACTGCACGTCCTGGCAGCCTGGAAGCTAGGTACAAACCCTCCCTGTGTGCTCCCCCTTCCACAATGGGGGCTTCACATCGTGCCCACACACAAAGGGCAGCTGTCAGGAACGCACGCCAAAGGACTTTTCATGCCTGATGAAAAGGTGCTTGTTAGAGCCCTGAGGTGCCAAGGGCTCTTCTCCCACCCCTCTTCTCCCCCCCAGCTAATGCTTTGGCTGCTGCCTGCACCCCATCATTGCCTCTCTGAGTGAGGCATCACTGGCACCAGTACCACCACCAGCCAGGAGACTGTGCACTGAAACAGGGATGCCCACCCCTGCCAGCCCACCTGAGGGAGTGGGAGGCTGAAGGTGGGAAGGCAAAGACAGGTGAGCCATTCAATGCCAGAGTACAACTGCTCCCAAAGCACACCTGACTGGAACCCCTTCCTCACCCTGGGACAAGGAAGAGATCAGACTTCACAGTACCCAAATCACTGCAAATACATAGAGCCGGACAACAAGGCCACTAGAACACCCCTGAATCACAACACCGGGTCAGGATGTCAGACTGGGAAGGAGGCCCAAGCCTCCCACCTGGCAGACACACACACTGACATTCTGCAGCAGACACGGCTTTGCAGCCCTGCAATCTGAGGACAAAAGCAGAGGTCTCGGCCTCCCCAGAGGGGAGCAAACCGTAATTGCCTCCTCTCCCTGTCACTGAGGATGATGGCAAGCTGCAGGGTGTTAACTCAGCTCACATCCCTGCAGAAGCCTTGTGCAGTCATAGAATCATAGGATGGCCTGGGTTGGAAGGGACCTGAAAGACCATCTAATTACAACCCCCTGCCATGGGCAGGGACACCTTCCACTAGACCAGCTTGCTTGGAGCTCTGTCTAACCTGGCCTTAAATACTTCCAGGGATGGGGCAGCCACAGCTTCTCTGTGAAATCTGTGCCAGGGCCTCACCACCCTCCCAGTAAAGAATTTATTCCTAATGTCTAATCTAAAGATTCTCTGTCAGCTTGAAACCATTCCCTCATGTCCTGTCACTACATACTCTTGTAAAAAGTCTCTCTCCACCTTTCTGTCCCTGGTGCATCCACCTTTCTGTCCCTGGTGCACTGAAGGCCACCCTGCCCTCTCTTGGGTGCACACAGACCCTGGGGTCTGGGGTCTGCACTGGTGTGGCAGGCAGGGGTCCTGCCTGGGACCCTGCCTGCCCCCACCACCTGGGCACCAAAGGGACCTGAGGGAACAGTGAGAGAGGCTGAGGGGACCAGTGCCTGGGACAGTGGCCGGTGACAGGGACACCATCCTTCTGGCAAGGACAGACACGGTGGAGGTGCTGCTTCCGAGGGTCCTCCCTCCCCTCTGCAGCAGTTCCCTGCCTATTCCAAGAGCCGTGAGGCGGGACCACCCTGCTGCCAGTCAGGGAGAGACACAGCGAGGACTGGTGAGAGCACTGCGCGGGTCCCACCTACTGCCCGCTCCGGAGGAGGGGAGAAGGCTTCCTTAAAGAGCCAGTGCAGCAAAACGCTGCATTGGCTCTTTAAGATTCCACAGGGATCTACAGAGACCAATAAAGGTATATAGAGACCAATACCTGTTTGGAGGTACTTATTTTCGGGGTGCATCTGGCAGTGCCACCGGCAAGGAGCTGTCACAGTAGCCTTGACTCTGGAATGTGCCCTGTCCCCATCCCAGGCAGGGCCCCAGACAGCACAGTGGGGTGACAGACAATGCTGCTGGCAATACAGGGTGCTGTGCCCCTGGTAGTGGGTTTGGTGCTGCTGTGGTGCCTCAGCAGAAGCCCCCTGTGAAGCCCACATGGTCTGGGAGAATCCACCCAGTGTCCCAAGATGGCTCAATCACCAAGGAGCTGGAGCAAGGGCTTCACACAGGGGATTCTGCTGTTGCTTGAGTCTGTCAAAGCCTGGGATAGGGACAGTGACAAGGCAGAAAGGGTATGGGGTGTCTAGGAAGGGTATGGGTGTCTAGTATGGACAAGGAAATGTTCCCCATTCCAGAGGGCCAGAGCTCTCCCTGTGGAAGGGCTCCAACCCAGACAACCCAGGGATCACTGGAGATCCTGCAGAGTGGGATCCCTCATGGCAGGACACACTGCCTGCTACAGACAGGGCCAACACCCTCCCCTCTGCATCAGTTTTGGGGGCTGGCTGTGTCCTGCAAAACAAAGAGGTGTAAAGCCTTTGCAGGCTTGACACGGGCTGTTGTCACTACAAAGACTGAAAATCCAGGGTTCGGTGCCAGCCCAGCTGATTTCTCACTGCCAGTGCCTTTCCAGTGTAGTGCTGGAGAGTAGGAGGGAGTCATGGCTCAGGCTCAGGCTTCCTGCCTGCCTGGTATCACCTCCTTCCACCCCACTCTCAAACAATTTGCTGCCCCCATCCCCAGAGGCATCTTGCCAGGACCTTTTGGTCGAGGGGACATCCTTGTCCCCAACCTGAGCACAGCCTGCACAGTGCAGAGGAACACTTGCTCCTGCAGCTGCTGCAGCCATTCCCACCTGCCAGAAACCAGAAGTGCTGAGTCTGAGCAGTGACGCAAGCAGGGGGGAAAAAAAAAAGGGAAAAAAAAGGCATAAAATAATTCTGAGAGGTTTCTGCCTCCATCTGTGATTTGGCCACACTGAGCAGGCGGCACACGCAGCCTCACACCCGTGCACAGCTTCCGCTGCACCTCACTTCCTTCTGCTCTGAGGAACCGGTCGCTCTCACTCACAGCCTCCCAGCAAGGACAAATCACCAGCACCAGCCACCTTGGAAACCCACCAGATCCACCACCACCCCCATCCACTGGATCCACTACCTGGCCTCACCTCTGAGGATTGAAGCACTCCTGTCATTGAAAGCTTTCCAATTAAGCTGCACAATTCCCATCGGGAAAGAAGCACAGGAGCTGCCTGCCATGCGCAAACGCCTTCCTGCCTGCAGTTTGCTCAGTCAGGACATCAGACATCACCCAGAGATAGCATATTACAAACCATGCAGAGCTTAGAATAAGGTTTTTGAACAACATCTGAGTGGAGGACTCCCCATCCTGCTCAGAGCCACAGTCCAGCTCAGTGGAGCCCTGCAAACAACTGGGACAATCTTCAGTCCCACACCTCCACCCTGAAGGAAACACCATCACAGAGCTTCCATGGAAACAAAACCAGAAGCGTCAGGAGTCAAACATGAGGAGCAGCACAGATGGGAGGGATGCTCTGTGGCCACGGTCTGTCACACAGAGGAACCAGCATCATCCTTCAGCTTTTTGTGCTACACTGTGGGTAGTGACACCCTGGTCCCCCACTGGCAGCTGGTGGCTCCCAGCCCCATTTGCACCACCACCTCTTCAGTCCCCACCAGGGCACAGAGACTGTGTTCCCACCCACTGCAAGTGCTCCCCTCGGCTCTCCTATTGCAAAGGGAAGGAAATACCATCAGCAACAAACTTTGTGCCAAGGATTTACAAGTGGTTGCAAGCTGACCTCAGGCTCCACCGGTTACTCACGCAAGGCGTACCCAAAACTGCATCCAAAAGAAACGTTTGCCAGCCTGAGCAAACTGACTCACTTGATCCTGCTCAGCACGGTGCAAATGTCACTGACACTCAGGACAGCTCACGTGACTCCAAAGAAGGCCTGTTCAGCCATAGCTGACCACTCTGTACAGGCACGGCGCGACTGGACATCCCTCCCAACCCCAACACGCCGCCAAACACGTATGGCACAAATGAACCGTGGCTCTGCCCGGCGCTGGGACATGCCAAGGAAGGAGCTACATTACCTCGGCAGGTGCGGGGAGCCGGCTGGCAGTGCCCACGATCTGGTGGTACAGCCCTGGCTCACCATTCCTTATGGTGCTCTGACGGCTCCCCAGGGGGCTGGAAGTGAAGGGCTTTTTACACAGGAGGTCACTCTGGCGAGAGTCCGTGGTGAGATAGACCTGGTGGTAGAAGTTGGGTGGCGTGAAGCCACCCCGCACAGCATCGATGTGGTGGAAGGGCCCTGGTGTCCTGTATGTGGTACTCCTGGAGCTGTTGAACAGCTCCTTTGACTGCCTCCACTTGTAGCACTTGAAGATGCCCACAGACAACATGGTGATGAAGAAGGCTGCTGAGACCAGAATCACAGCCAGGATGAGATAGAAAGTCACATGTTTCCTGGGGTCATTGACAGGTGCCACATCAGCGAGGTCAGTGAGCACCTCCTTGACCATTTCGGCCACAGAGATGGAGACAGTGGCAGTGGTGGACAGCACAGGCTCCCCGTGGTCTTTCACCAGGATGACCAACGTGTGCTGAGGAGGGTCATCCTCGCGGAGCTGGCGGGCTGTGAAGATGTCCCCATTGTACAGCCCAACTGAGAAGAGGCTGGGGTCAGTGGCCTGCAACAGGGTATAGGAGATCCAGGCATTGTACCCTGCATCTGCATCCACCGCCACCACCTTGGTGACCATGTGCCCGGCGGGAGTGCCGGGTGCCACCACATCGGGATAGGTGGCAGAGCTGTTGGGGTGGGGGTACAGCACGGTTGGGGCATTGTCATTGACGTCAGTGACAAACACACTGACTGAGACATTAGTGGCCAGAGGCGGAAAGCCGCCGTCCTGGACCTGTACCATCATGCTGAACTCCATCTGGTCCTCGTAGTCCAGGGAGGTGAGCAGGTAGAGGGTGCCGTTCTCCCGGTTGATGGAGAAGAGGTGGCCCACAGTGGAGTCACCCTGCAAAAGGCTATAGGAGAGGTGGGCATTGCGCCCAAGGTCTGGATCTGTGGCGCTCACGTTAAGGATGGGAATGCCAGGCATATTGTTCTCCAGAACATACACATCGTAGGAGTCCTGGGAAGACTTGGGCGCGTTGTCATTGACATCTGACACCTGCACCAGGATGTGTTTTACTGCTGACAAGGGTGGCGAGCCCGAGTCCCTGGCTGTGATAGTGATGTTATACTCCGATGCCTTTTCCCGGTCCAGAGCTCCTTC